ACCCCTCTGTCACAGAGAAGAACACCCCTCTGTCAACAGAGAGAACACCCCTCTGTCACAGAGGAGAACACCCCTGACACACAGTCACAGAGAGAACACCCCTCTGTCACAGAGAGAACACCCCTGTCACAGAGAGAACACCCCTCTGTCACACAGAGAGAACACCCCTCTGACACACAGAGAGAACACCCCTCTGACACACAGAGAGACACCCCCTCTGTCACAGAGAGAACACCCCTCTGTCACAAGAGAACACCCCTCTGTGACAGAGAGAACACCCCTCTGACACAGAGAGAACACCCCTCTGTCACAGAGAGAGAACACCCCTCTGCACAGAGAGAACACACCCTCTGTCACACAGAGAGAACACCCCTCTGACACAGAGAGAACACCCCTCTGTCACAGGGAGAACACTCATATTCCACTGAGTCCAACACAAACTGAACCACATCAGACACAAGAAACAACAGTTTTTCTCACACACATTAGTTTATGTAAATGAGTCATGTGGTTTTAAGTTTTGTTTCTGTGGACACAGAAACGATGAGTCTGGGTTGCAAATTGTTTCCGATCCGGTGATTTGTTTCAGTGTAAACTTGACCTAAGAAAGTTTTATCACAATTTGAGTAAATTTCACTTTCTGCAGTGGAACGAGAGTTTTTGTGCTTAAATTATGAAAATACATCTGACTGCACTCAAAAGAAGAAAAACACCAACATCTTTTTGCACTTAAAATCAGAAACAAAATCGAATGTTCTTAATTTAAGTCATTTTAATTTACACAGATATTTTTATTTATTTATTTATTTTTTTTAAGTGTTGCCCACTTCCCAATATTTACCTTTTTATTTTAATAAACAAACATATAAATGTGTTCTGATATTTTTCCAAACTCAGTAGTTTTAACTGAACATGTTTTAGAAGAAAGGAGAGAAAAGGAGAGAGGAAACGAGAAAGGAAAAGAGAGAGGAAACGAGAAAGGAAAGGAGAGAGGAAACGAGAAAGGAAAGGAGAGAATAAACGGGTGTAAGGGGTGTAGAAAAGCTCTGCTGGGTTTTATCTGGTCGCAGTGAATCTGAAGCTCAGTTTCAGTTTCATTTTCAGTTTTAGTTTCAGTTTCTGTGGAGGACGAGGTTTATGGAGCCGTTTCCCTCCTGTGACAGGGAAATGTGCTCTCCATCTTTACTCCTCCATCCCTCCATCCATCCCTCCATCCATCCTTCTCTCTGCATGTTTTTCTCCCCTCCCCCGCTCTCTTTCCCTCCCTCTCTTTAGTTTTCTCTCTTTTCTCTGCTCCCTCCATGTCTCTCCCTCCCTCTCTCCCTGAAAGAGAGAGAGAGAAAGAGGGGAAGAGAAAGAGGAGGAGAGGAAGAGGAGGAGAGAAGGAGGAGGAGAGAAGGAGGAGGAGAGAAAGTGGAGGAGAGAAAGTGGAGGAGAGAAAGAGGAGGAGAAAGAGGAGGAGAGAAAGAGGAAAGAGGAGGAGAGAAGGAGAAGGAGAGAAAGGAGGGAGAAAGAGAAAGAGAGAGAGAGAAAAGAGGGGAGAGAGAAGAGAGGGGGGAAAGAGAGAGAGAGAAAGAGGAGGAGAGAAAGAAGAGGAGGAGAGAAGAGGAGAGAGGGGAGAGAGAGGGAGAAAGAGAAGAGGAGAAAAGAGGAGAGAAGAGAAGAGAGAGAAAGAGGAGGGGAGAAAGAGGAGGAGAGAAGAGAGAAAGAGAGGAGAAAAGAGGGGAAGAGAAAGAGGAGAAGAGGAAGAGGAGGAGAGAAGGAGGAGGAGAGAAGGAGGAGGAGAGAAAGTGGAGGAGAGAAAGAGGAGAGGAGAAAGAGGAGGAGAGAAAGAGGAAAGAGGAGGAGAGAAAGAGGAAAGAGGAGAGAAAGGAGAAGGAGAGAAAGAGGAGGAGAGAAAGAGGAGGAGAGAAAGAGGAGGGGAGAAAAAGAAGAGGAGAAAAAGGAGGAGAGAAAGAGAGAGAGAGAAAGAGGAGGAGAGAAAGAGGAGGAGAGGAAGAGGAGGAGAGGACGGTGCTCTAAAGGAAACGAGGATGTACAGGACGTTTATGTAACTGTGAGGAGAGAGGGATGAGTGGAGGAGGTGAAAAGAGGGGGGAGAGGAAAGGAGAGAGGGAGGGAGGAGAGGAGAGAGGGAGGAGAGAGTGATGAAAAAGGACAAGAGCGGGTGAAAGCTCTGGAAATACTGGAAAGATGAGCGTGTGAGAGAGAGAGAGAGAGAGGAGGAAAGGATGGAGAGGAGAGAGGGCAGGGAGGAGAGAGAGAAGGAGGAGAGGAGAGGAAGGAGGAAAGGAGAGATGGGGGGGCAGAAGGAGAGAGGAGAGAGAGAGTGTGGGAAGAGGGGAAAGGAGAGATGGGGGAGGAGGAGAGAAAGAAAAGAGATGGAGGGGAGGAGAGGGACAGAAGGAAGGAAGGAAGGGGAGGGGAGGACGGAGAGAGGGAGGAAGGAGAGGTGTGACCAGTGAAGGAGGGAGGATGAGGACGAGGTGAAAGACAGAAAAGAAGTGAATAAAGAGAAGGAGAGAGAGAGAGAAAGGAGGGAGCGCAGGTAATGGAGGAGGAGGAGGAGGTGAGAGACAGAAGAGGAGGATGAAAAAAAGAATGAGTGACAAGATGAGAGAGAGAAAGAGAAAGAGGAGAGAAAGAGGAGAGGAGGTGAGAGACAGAAGAGGAAGTCAGAACGGAGGGAGTGAGAAAAGGAGAGATGGAGAGATGGAGAGAGATGGAGGAGAGGAACTTTGTGTGTTGTCATAGTTACAGTCGACAAACCATGGCAACCAGGTCCACAACTGTAAAACACCGAGACGACGACGACGAAGAAGAAGAAGAAGAAGAAGAAGAAGAAGAAGAAGAACTCAAGTTTAACTCAGAATACGAAACTCGGACCTCGGACTTCAAACTATAGACCTCAGACTTCAGATTTTAGACCTCAGACTTTTTACCTCAGACTTCAAACTTTAGACTTCAGAACTCAGACTTCAGACCTCAGACTTTAGACCTCAGACTTCAAACTTTAGACCTCAGACTTTAGACCTCAGACCTCAGACTTTCAAACTTCAGACTTCAAACTTTAGACCTCAGACTTTAGACCTCAGACTTCAAACTTTAGACGTCAAACTATAGACCTCAGACGTCAGACTTTAGACCTCAGACTTCAAACTTTAGACTTCAGACTTTAGACCTCAGACTTCAGAACTCAGACTTCAGACCTCAGACTTTAGACCTCAGACTTCAAAATTTAGACCTCAGACTTCAAACTTTAGACCTCAGACTTCAGACTTCAGACCTCAAACTTTAGACCTCAGACTTCAGACTTTAGACCTCAGACTTCAAACTTCAGACTTCAAACTTTAGACCTCAGACTTTAGACCTCAGACTTCAAACTTTAGAGTCAACTTAGACCTCAGAGTCAGACTTTAGACCTCAGACTTCAGACTTTTTCAGACTCAGACTAGACTCAGACTCAGACTTCAGACCTCAGACTTTAGACCTCAGACTTCAACTTTAGACCTCAGACTTCAAACTTTAGACCTCAGACTCAGAAACTTTAGACCTCAGACTTCTTTAGACCTCAGACTTTAGACCTCAGACTTCAAACTTTAGACCTCAGACTTCAAACTTTAGACCTCAGACTTCAAACTTTAGACCTCAGACTTTACACTTTAGACTTCAGACCTCAGATCTCAGACCTCAGACTGTCTCCCGTGAGCTTTACGTCATGTTCTAATGCTGTTCCTTTTTTTTTTTTTTTTTGTTTGCTAATGTGTGCGTTGTGTCTCCATGGTAACGGACGAACATTCTGTCCATAGACACGCACACGGAGCTCCCCAGAGTGACGTCACTGCAAACAAATAATCATTTACGGAGAACCGCCGCGGGCGCTGGGTGACGGGGGCCTGTGGGCGGAGCCTTGTACAGACTCGTACTGCAAACTCTCTCTGTTCGGTTTTCTCTTTTACACCACAGACCAACCGGACAAACGGAAATGTTTTAAGATCGTCTGAAAATTTAAGAAAAAATACCTAAATTATTTAAAACGAAGAAGGTCCGAGTGGCTTTTGCTGATCACGACAACACAGTGTTTTGTATTTTTCTGAACGTGAACATCATCAAACTTTCTATTTTCTGTAAATAAACGATGAACTAAGGTCCCAACAGAGTTTTTTTTTTTTTTTTTTTTTTTTACTGTTTCTGGAGTGAAATAATGAAAAGTCAAGCGAACGCCGAGCATGACTGATGCAGATTCCAGTTTTCAGGCCTGCGTCTCGTCCCACTTCTTCAGCGTGTCCCACTTTTCTCGGGTTATAAAAAGTGAGATTTACCTCAAACATGATCCCGTGATTCTGCAAAGACGATCGGGCTCCTGGGAGCTCGGGCGTTCACGGTTACATGTTGCACGAGTTTCTTCAGATACAGGATTTGTCGGGCTATAAGTCGCTCCAGCCAAAAAACGCGTAACGGAGAAGAAAAAAAGAACATATATAAATCGCACTTTTTGGGGAAATTTATTTTATAAAATCAGACACGAGTAACCGACATTTCCTGTGTAAAATCAAATTGTAGTAAAAACAATAGAAGAGAACATCAGACTGTTAACGTCACATATGAACAGTTCCGACATAACACCACTTCAACATCGACGTCTAATTGTCGGAGTGTCGGCATTTCCATTTTTTATCGAACGTCTCAAAACTCCGACAGCTGCGCTTTAGCTTGTTTTTTTCAATATTCCGCCATTCCGACACACAAGGGAATGATTAAGTTGCAGCCACACTATTTACGGGACAATATTTTCACAGAGGCACGGTCCACGCGGCGTACGGGAGGAGGCGAGGCCCACGCGGCGTACGGGAGGAGGCGAGGCCCACGCGGCGTACGGGAGGAGGCGAGGCCCACGCGGCGTACGGGAGGAGGCGAGGCCCACGCGGCGTACGGGAGGAGGGAGGAGGTGAGGCCCACGCGGCGTACGGGAGGAGGAGGAGGTGAGGCCCACGGCGTACGGGAGGAGACGAGGCCCACACTGCGTACGGGAGGAGTCGAGGCCCACGCGGCGTACGGGAGAAGGCAGGAAACCCATGCGGCGTACGGAAGGAGGCGAGGTCCACGCGGCGTACGGGAGGAGGTGAGGCCAGCAGCGTACGGGAGGAGACGAGGCCCACTGCGTACGGGAGGAGTCGAGGCCCGCGGCGTACGGGAGGCGAGGCCCGCGGCGTACGGGAGGAGGTCGAGGCCCACGCGGCGTACGGGAGGAGGTCGAGGCCCGCGCGGCGTACGGGAGGAGTCGAGGCCCGCGCGGTACGGGAGGAGTCGAGGCCCACGCGGCGTAGGGAGAGTCGAGGCCCACGCGGCGTACGGGAGGAGTCGAGGCCCACGCGGCGTACGGGAGGAGTCGAGGAGGTCGAGGCCCACGCGGCGTACGGGAGGAGTCGAGGCCACACGCGGCGTACGGGAGGAGTCGAGGCCCACGCGGCGTACGGACATTTATGTGTCTATAAACTGGACTAAATGAACAAAAGATAAAGAATCTGAGCTTTATAACGTCGACCAACGGCCCAGATCTGCAACCGATATCGCTTAAACCGGACTTAAGGATTTAGGACTGAACCAGGACTGAACCAGGACTGAAACAGGACTGAAACTGGACTAAAACTGGACTGAAACAAGACTGAAACAGGACTGAACCAGGACTGAACCAGGACTGAAACTGGACTAAAACAAGACTGAACCGGGACTGAAACTGGACTAAAACTGGACTAAAACAGGACTGACTATCGGCCTGCATGGACAAGATTTGGGCCGATACCCGATATGTTTGTAAGTGCCCATATATCGATCAACCGATATATTTCTAGAGCAGATTTTAAAAACATCATAAATGTTGAGTAAAATATCCTCATGAATGTTCAGTGAGGCTCAAATCCACGTTTATTTTGTGATTTATAAATTATTTCTATTGACTTTGTGACTTTTAAAATCCACAGAAAACAGTTTGTGAAACAGAGACGAGGAGAGTTTTGTCACGTCACAGCAGAAGTCGACTGGAAGTGTGAACGGTTCAGCCCCAGCGACGTCCCGTTTCCTCCTCCTCCTCCTCTATCTCTCCTCTCCTCTCTCCTCTCTCCTCCTCTTCCTCCTCTCCTCTTCCTCTCTCTCCTCTCCTCCTCCTCTTCTCTCTCCTCCTCTCTCTCCTCCTCTCCTCTTTCCTCCTCTTCCTCTTTCCTCCTCTCTCTCCTCTTCCTCCTCTCTTCTCTCTCTCTCCTCCTCTCCTCTCCTCTCTCCTCCTCTCCTTCTCTCCTCTTCCTCCTCTCTCCTCCTCCTCTCTCTTCCTCCTCTTTCCTCTTCTCCTCTTCTTCCTCTCTCTCTTCTTCCTCTCCTCCTCTTCTCTTCCTCCTCTCCTCTCCTCTCCTTCCTCTTCCTCCTCTCCTTCTTCCCTCCTCTCCTCTCCTCCTCCTCTTCCTCTCTCTCTCCTCTCCTCTTCCTCCTCTCCTCTTCCTCCTCTCCTCTCCTCCTCTCTCTTCCTCTCTTCCTCTCCTCTTCCTCCTCTCCTCTTCCTCCTCTTCCTCCTCTTCCTCTCCTCTTCCTCCTCTATTCCTCCTCTTCCTCCTCTCTTCCTCCTTTTCCTCTTCTCCTCTTCTTCCTCCTCTCTTCCTCCTCTCCTCTTCCTCCTCTCTTCTTCCTCCTCTCCTCTTCCTCCTCTCCTCTTCCTCCTCTCTCTTCCTCCTCTCCTCTTCCTCCTCTCCTCTTCCTCCTCTCTCTCTCTCTTCCTCTTCTCCTCTTCCTCTCCTCTTCCTCTTCCTCCTCTCCTCTTCCTCCTCTCCTCCTCTCTCTCTCCTCTCTCTTCCTCCTCTTCCTCTCCTCTTCTCCTCCTCCTCTTCCTCCTCTTCCTCCTCTTCCTCTCTCTTCCTTCTCTCTCCTCCTCTCCTCTCCTCTCTCTCCTCTTCCTCTTCTCCTCTTCCTCCTCTCTTCTTCTCTCCTCTCTCTCTCCTCCTCTCCTCTCCTCTCCTCTCTCTCCTCCTCTCCTTCTCTCTCCTCTTCCTCCTCTCTTCTTCCTCCTCTCTTCTTCCTCCTCTCCTCTTCTCCTCTCTCTTCCTCCTCTCTTCTCTGTTGCTCTTCCACCGCTGTCAACCCTCCTCTTTTAATTAGCTCAGTTCTTTTCCACAGTTTGAGACATTTCCAGCGTCGAGGAGGAAGAGGAGAAGAGAGAGAGGAAGAGGAGGAAGAGGAAGAGGAGGAAGAGGAGGAAGAGGAAGAGGAGAAGAGGAGGAGAGAAGAGGAGGAGAGGAGGAAGAGGAGGAAGAGGAGGAGGAGGAGGAAGAGGAGAGGAGAGGAGGAAGAGGAGGAGGAGAGGAGAGAGAAGAGAGGAGGAAGAGGAGGAAGAGGAAGAGGAGGAGGAGAGGAGGAGAGAGACGCTCCGTAATGAATCATGATCCTCAAATTCTCGTTCATTAGGCGAAGAAATCCTGGACTTTTTCTGCCAACAGATCTGGGACCAAACCGGGACCAGACCGGGACTGAGACCGGGACAGACCGGGACTGAGACCGGGACCAGACCGGGACTGAGACCGGGACCAGACCGGGACTGAGACCGGGACCAGACCGGGACTGAGACCGGGACCAGACCGGGACTGAGACCGGGACCAGACCGGGACTGAGACCGGGACCAGACCGGGACTGAGTCCGGGACCAGACCGGGACTGAGACCGGGACCAGACCGGGACTGAGACCGGGACCAGACCGGGACCACACCGGGACCAGACCGGGACCAGAGCGAGACTGAGACCGAGACCAGACCAGGACTGATTCCGGGACCAGACCAGGACTAAGACCAGGACCAGACCGGGACTGTGACCAGGAAAAGACTGGGACTTAGACCGGGACCGAGACCAGACCGAGACTGAGACCGAGACCAGACCGAGACTTAGACTGAGACTGAGACCAGAGTGAGACTGAGACAGAGACTAGACCAGGACCAAACCAGGACCAGACCGGGACTGAGACTGGGACTGAGACCAGGACTGAGACCGAGACCAGACCTGAGGCTCAGAGCCCACAGCAGGACCGGAGCTCGAGGCTGAGACTCGGACTCAAAGCTCGGAGTCCGATCTGGTCCTGGTCTGGTCCTGGTCTGGTCCTGGACCCGGATCCTGGTCCTGGTTCAGTGCAAAAGTCACAGAAGTCACGTAAACGGTTGTGATCCTTTTTTTCCATTTTTCATTTAAACACAAAATTGAAATATGAAAAAAACGAGTCATTATCTGTTTTTTTTTTTCATTTTGACTTTGGAGACAAATAATGAAGCAAATAGTTGTTTGTTTATTTTCTTATTTTTGGTTTTATTTTGAAAAACGAACGAACGACGCACAGATTCATTGTCTTTGTCTTTGTCTTTGTCTTTGTCTTTGTCTTTGTCTTTGTCTTTGTCTTGTCAGTTTAGTTTCAGTTTTTTCTTGGGAGTTGGAGTCTAACGTTTGTTCTGCTCAAAACTGCAACAGAACAAACGTGAAAAAAAAAAAAAAAAAACACCAAACGAAGCAAAAAACGACAAGTACAAAACGTGAATCGTGACAAAAGTGACTCCGTAAACCAGCACTTCATGACATCACGAGGTGGAGCGGAGCGTTTGGAGTTTCAGAGACGTAGACAGAATAAAAACCTCGGACGTGTGTCAGATGCCCTCCCGCCGTCCCCGGACAAAATGTTCTGAATCCTCTCCTTCCTCTCTCTCTCTCTCCTCCTCCTCCTCTCTTCCTCTCTCCTTCCTCCTCCTTCTCCTCTCCTCCTCTCCTCTCTCCTCTCTCCTCTCTCCTTCCTCTCTCCTCTCTCCTCCTTCCTCTCTCCTTCCTCTCTCTCTCCTTCTTCCTCTCCTTCCTCTCCTCTCTCCTTCCTCTCTCTCTTCCTCTCTCCTCCTCCTTCCTCCTTCCTCCCTCCTTCCTTCCCTCCTTCTTCCCTCCTTCCTCCTCCTTCCTCTCCTCACTCTCTCCTTCCTCCTCTTCTCTCTCCTCTCCTCTCCTCTCTTCTTCCTCTCTTCTTCCTCACCTCCTTCCTCTCTCCTTCCTCTCCTCCTTCCTCCTCCCTCCTTCCTCTCCTCCTTCCTCTCCTCCTTCCTCACCTCCTTCCTCTCTCCTTCCTCTCCTCCTTCCTCACCTTCCTTAGTCACCTCTTTCCTCTCCTCCTTCCTCTCTCCTTCCTCTCCTCTTTCCTTCCTCTCTCCTTCCTCTCTTTTTTGTCTCCTCCTTCCTCTCTCCTTCCTCTCATCCTTTCTCTCTCCTTCTTCTCTTTTTTGTCTCCTCCTTCCTCTCTCTTTCCTCTCCTCCTCCTCCTCATCCTCCTCCTCTCCTTCCTCTCCTCCTCCTCTCCTCCTCCTCTCTCCTTCCACTCTCCTCCTCTCCTCCTCCTCTCTCTTTCCTCTCTCCTTTCTCTCCTCCTTCCTCTCTTCTTCCTCTCCTCCTCCTCCTCCTCTCTCTTTCCTCTCCTCCTCCTCTCTCCTTCGTTTCCTCTCTTCTTTCTCTTTTCTGATCTTGTGACTTTTCTTGTGTGAGTTTCCTGGTGTCGCCTGCAGCAGCTCGAGCCCAGAGCATTTTAATTATACACACAACACCGACGGACGGAGGGAGGAGACGGACGAGAGGAGAGAGAGAGAGAGAGAGAGAGGAGGAGAGAGAGAGAGAGGAGAGAGAGAGAGGAGAGAGAGAGAGAGAGGAGAGAGAGAGGAGGAGAGAGGAGAGGAGAGGACGAGAGGAGAGAGAGAGAGAGAGAGAGGAGAGAGAGGAGAGAGAGGAGAGAGAGGAGAGAGAGGAGAGACGAGAGAGGAGAGAGAGGAGAGAGAGGAGAGAGAGGAGAGAGAGACGGAGGAGAGGAGAGAGAGAGGAGAGACGGAGGAGAGGAGAGAGAGAGGGACGAGGAGAGAGAGAGAGAGAGAGAGAGAGAGAGGAGGAGAGAGAGGACGGAGGAGAGAGAGAGAGAGAGAGAGAGAGAGAGAGAGGGAGAGAGAGAGAGAGAGAGAGAGAGGAGAGAGAGAGAGAGAGAGAGAGAGAGAGAGAGGAGAGGAGAGAGAGAGAGGAGAGAGAGAGAGGAGAGAGAGAGAGAGAGAGAGAGAGAGAGAGAGAGAGGAGAGACAGAGGAGAGAGAGAGAGAGGAGAGAGAGAGAGAGAGAGAGAGAGAGAGGAGAGAGAGAGGAGAGAGAGAGAGAGGAGAGAGAGAGAGAGAGAGAGAGGAGAGAGAGGAGAGAGAGAGAGAGAGAGAGAGAGAGAGGAGAGAGAGAGAGAGAGAGAGAGAGGAGAGAGAGAGAGACGAGAGAGAGGAGAGAGAGGAGAGAGAGAGAGAGAGGAGAGACAGAGAGACAGAGAAGAGAGAGGAGAGAGAGAGAGAGAGAGAGAGAGAGAGAGAGAGAGAGAGAGAGAGAGAGAGAGAGAGAGAGAGAGAGAGAGAGAGAGAGAGAGAGAGAGAGAGAGAGAGAGAGAGGAGAGAGAGAGAGAGAGAGA